TTGACCAATGTGGTCCTCAAAAATAAGATCCCCAAAGATATCTCCAGGGGCGCTCTAGGAGCAAAGCCCCCCCAAGATGGGTAAGGACAGAATGACCTCTCAGCAGCCAGGACAGTGCATGCAAGAATTGTTCCTGCAGAAGAGAAATAATGGCTCAGGCTGAGCTAGCAATTTTCTAGAAAAAAAGAAACTTATTTGGGAAAAAGACAATTTTATAGAGACTGAGCCTGTTCATAAATTCAAGTCAAATTTAGAGATTACTTTCAGCCTCTGGATTCTTCCATCCTCCCCTTTCCCTTCCCCCTTTCCCTCGAATTATTGTTTGCAAAAATTAAAACAAAATGTTTTAGGGCTTTCGTTTGTTTAAAAAAGCAATTTGCATTTTGAAAATTGCCAAAATATAAGCTTTGGGAGGGTGGGGCCTTTTGAAAGGGCAGCATTGTCATTGCTGAATGAAAACCACGGAGAAGGAATGCGTCCTGGGAGACGCAGGGCACGGGGACATGGGGCCTGGGGGACACAGCAGCAGCACAAAGACCACAACCACAGCTCCCACCACACAGCTCCAGCCTCTGCTTCCATTCATGTATCTCCTTTCGCTCTCCCAAATGGAAAATCCTGCCCACCTTGACCTTCTTTGGGTGATTATTTTGACCCAGTCGCTGATTTCAATGCGGAGGAGATTCTGCGGTACTTTCTTCAGCCGGGTCCAAACCGCAGCTTTCCCCTTTCCCACTCCAGCCTTCTCCAAGTTTCTGAACATCTGTGTTTAAACGAGATCTGGTTATTCATATTGGAGCCTGGCTGCTCAGGTAGAGACAGTTTGATGAGGCCCTGTACATCTGTGTGCCATAAAGCAAGCGAACAAAAGGCTTGTGAGGTCCTTGGCAAGAGGAGAGAAAGAGGAGAGCAGGAGACAGCAGCACTGAGCTTAGCTGAGCAACTGCAGCAAAACTCTTTCATCAGAGAGGCCTCAGCACCTGGCCTATGTTTTTTGCTCATAGCTGGGTCTGCAGCCCGTGCAGGGGTGTCTTCTCCCCCAGGTGAAAAGCAGAGCGAGGGGAGCGTAGGTGATGCCAAGACCGGGAGGTGATTTTTACTACAGCTGGCAAAGGCATTCATAGAAAGAAAAGATGGGTTGCTAAAGAGCCACTTAGTGTGGCAGGGAAATTCCAACCAAGAAGCAGTGGCGGAAAATTAAAGCCAGGCCAAGTCGTGTTAGGGACAAGGCAAAACTCTTTAGCGCAGCGGGGGATTAACCTCGGGTGAGGGAAGGCGGGAGCCGCCTGTCCTGAGTGCCTCTGTCCAGGGAAGTGTGGCTGGGTGAGCCACAGGCCCTGCCCACCATGGGCAGCATGGGGAGCACCCAGAGACTGTGCACAGGTTGGGAGATGGGATCCAAGAGCGTCACGACCAGCACTCAGCACCTCCGCGTGATGGATCCCATCCCAGCGAGTCCCAGCAAGGACTTTCTGATGCCTGGATGGGTCATTTACTGCATTGCCCTAATTCCTCTGTCCCTCTGTTATTGCCAGGAGAAAATAGGATGGCTATTTTCCTTCAGTCAGACCAAATCTCTCCCACTGGGCATCGACAAACATATCAGGCTGCAGCCCTGGCTGGTGGCCAGGGGTGCACAGCACTGGCCACTCAGGACCCAGGCACTCATGGTGAACACAGGAGACAGTAATTTCAATTAAAAGAACTCTCCCTGTGTCAGTTTGGCCACTTCTGTTGGCAGAAACAGGTGGATCAGGAGGGGGTGGATGATAGCATTGCAGCCGTGTGCATGGGGTTAGGAGGCAATCAGTGTCCAGGGGTGTCCTCTGTGCCTTGGGAATGCAGGTGGAAGGAGGAGACAGAACCAAGGTTGAGCTGATGGAACCAAAAAAAGCTGAGAAGTCAAGAAAGGGGGTGGCTGTCGCTCCCTGGCTGCTTGTGGTGCTTGTGGGAAGCTCGCAGGGAGGTCATGTTGCTCATGGACATGGGCTGGACTAGCCCAAACCTTCTCCCAGCTCATTCACTTCCTCCTTGGAGGGTTTATACCCCAAGGCATCCACAATACTTAGGTTGTTGAGTCTGGGTGAGGACACGGATGGCTGTTTTGGGGAGCTCCTTGCAGCATTGTGAGGTTCAGCTTCTTCTCTTCTTCAGACACTGGATTTTCCCATCCCTGGAAGATCAATGTAAAATTGATCCCAGGAGCAGAACTGTGAGCTGTTCTGCACACTCCACTTATTCCTCCACATTCCTGTGCAGCTCTGCTCTGGTGGGACCAGCAGAAATATTAGCAAAGAACTTGAGAAAATCCCAAGAGTCCTGTTTTCCTGGCTCTGCAAAAACATTTCTGCTTATCAAGCAACCCAAAGAAATGCTAAGATTTTCAGACACTCTTGGTGTGGGCTCAGCTTTGAATTTTAAAAAGGGATTTGCCAATGCAATCTTGCAAAATACTCGAGTGCCAAGTCCAGCTCTCCTAAAATACAAGTTTTAGGAGGAGGTGAGCTTTCACTCTCTGGGGAAAACATGCATTTCTGACAGAGTCAAGGAAGAACTAAGTCTTTTGTGAGGCCATGCCACCCCCTGGAGAAATGTCTCCTCTTGTTAATCAACAGGGACTAAATCCTGTGGTTTGTAGCACCAAAGGCAGAGCTGCTCAGGAGCCTCAAGGCTTTGAAGGATGGAGATGTGCCTGTATAGTCATAGGCTGCAGCAGGGATGACCAACCCTCAGACTGAGGGATTTAAATCTCTTTTTTCCTCTGCTTGAGCTGAGTCCTGAGGCTGTGTCATTGATACAGGTGTTGCCTTGGGATTTAGCCAAGAGATCATCCTTCATGTCACAGCCCTTGTTTATGCCTGGGGAGAGGTTCTGCCTTCAGTGAAGCCCTTGGCCCTAGACCTTTCTGAACGCCCAGAAAAAGGGTTTAATCTCAGCATCTTGGTTCACCACTGTAAAACAAGGATTTTACTCTCTGTAAAACAAGGTTTGGGACTTTAAAAACTTCACCTCCTTCCCAAAAGCTCAACTCGTGTGTTCTGCAGGGCAAGAATCATCTCTAACCCCCTGTTTTTACTGCATGTGGTGGAGCCATCGTGGTGGCTGGGGCTGCTCAGCACGTGCGAGACGAGGAGGAACCAGAGCCGAGCAGCTGCTACAGCAAGGCACAGCATGCTGCTCTTCCTGAGGTTTAGATGGGAGGGGAAAAGCCTCCAAAGAGGGCACAGAAAGCGCCTGGTGCGTGCTCCTGTGCTTCTTTCAGCTGCAAACAGGCTGTTAAAGCGCAGCATCAGCACATGTGCCTGTGGGACTGGGCAGATCTGAACAGCAGCGATTCCCTCGGGATGCAGGAGCGGTGTCTCCGGCCTCCTTGATGGTCGTCTCCCGTTTCAGGAGCTGACAAATGCACCCACAGGCTGCTGGGCTCCTCTGAAGGAGGAGGCAAACCGCGGTTCAAAGTCGTGGCCCCGCTCGGTGTCAGGAATCTCACTCCCTCACGGCCGGCAAACCACTCCGGGGCCGCTCCTGTCACCATCAGCACGTTGATGGCTGCTGCTCCTGCTCTGCCAGCGTTTGCTGGGGACCCGAGGTTTGGCCTCACCATGCCAGCTGCAGGAATTCCGGTTGCAGGGCATGGAGAGAGCAGGCTCCGTCCCACTGGTTGGATGGGGAGGGAGGATTTGGCTCTCCCCTTTCCTTTCACGTCGTGTGTCAGCTGGGGATTGTTCCCGATGAATAATGCGGAACTGCACTGCAATTTTCGGGGTTGAAATTTGATAATTAGGCAAATATAGCATGCCTTTGTGCTGGGCAAGCACCATAAGGTAAACAGGAAGGAACGAGGGATTAAGATGTCTCTGCTCTAAAGGAAGGTGACAAGCCCAGAGCCGTGACACCTTCGTGCCGAGCCGAGAGGCCTAGCTGTGGGCTGGCATGGCACAGCTGCATTGTTCAGGGGTGAAGAGCAAATAAAAGCAACGGGAAAAGAAAACAAGCTATAAAATTCTCAGCAAAGCACAGAGCCCCAGCAACTGCCTCTTGATGTCCCCGTGACAGCTCAGGGGAGAGGCAGGCGAGGGGTCGGGCTTTTGAAGTCCTGAAGTTGTCCTTCGCGAAGGCCCCCTGTTAAAATAGTGCCTGTGTTGACATTAGGCTGCATATGGTGGAGGAATTGGACATCTCAGTCACAGCACATGCAATCAAAGCACTGGGGGGACTTCTTGGTATTTGGCTAACGGGGTGTCAGGCTGCCCCTGCCCCGGGCAGGATGGGGGATGCGGAGGCAGAGGTGAGGTTTATCAGCATACTCAAGGCTGCTGGTGAGTAACAGAGCCTGTGGTAAGGAAAGACGAGGAAGAAACTAGCTAGGAAGGTCTTGAAATGGTATTTGGGGCTCAAACATACATGTGTGTCAGAACTGGTAAGAGTAGGAACACTGGGAAGGTTGGGGTTGGGCAGGTGGTGATGGAAACCCTTTCCTGCAGGGGTGGGCAGAGGAGATTCCTGAGGTACTGGAAAGGAGGGAGTTCACAGCAGTTTGGGGGCCTTTGTACTGAGCAGGAGCACAATACAAAGTGAGAGTGGATGAGAAGGGAGAGAGCGTGGGACAAAGTGCTTGTGACAAAGCTGGAGGAGCAGTGGTGGGGGGCGTGCTCTGTTCCCTGCATGGATGGGTTCCCTGTCCTCACAGCCCTGCCTGCACCCAGATTCTAATCCACATTAAGAGCAGGGAGAGGCAAAGGCACATTTGCTGCAAGTCAGGATAGTGAAATGAGGTCTTGGTGACCTCGGCTTCCCCTCCAGAAAGCTGGACTTACCACGTAGGCTCGGTCAGGAAGGGATGTGGGTTAGCAGCTGCCACCAAAGCATCCCACCCTGTGACCCCCCGCTCTGACAGGGCACTCTGGGTGCCCAGCCCTGCTCACACGGGCTCCCCCCGGGTTTGGCACCTCCGTGGCCGGGCACAAACGGTGACGATGTCCCCTCTTTGTCTCTCTCAGCCTGCAACTGCAACCTGCACGCCCGGCGCTGCCGCTTCAACATGGAGCTGTACAAGCTGTCGGGGCGCAAGAGCGGCGGCGTCTGCCTCAACTGCCGGCACAACACGGCGGGGAGGCACTGCCACTACTGCAAGGAGGGCTTCTACCGAGACCTCAGCAAGCCCATCTCCCACCGCAAGGCCTGCAAAGGTACCGGGGTCGGGCGGGGGATGGCCGGGACCCCGCAGCTCATTCCCCTCCAGCCCCTTCCCGCAGCTCCTGTTCCGCGGGAGCCAACCTCCCGCTGCTCCTCCCTCCCCCAAACCAATTTGAAGTGGCTTTTCTTGCCGTTTCAAATTGCTTTTCTTGCCCCCACGTTCCCTGACATCACCCCTCCCTGGTCTCCTCCTCGTGAGGACGAGGCCACCGAAATACAAGTCCTCACTGCCGAGGATGACTTGAAATTACTCCAGTGCTTCACTGCAGTGAATTATCACGTGCTTCATCTGCTGACCTGCTCATCACACATGTAAAGTGCACAGAATCCCAGGTATGGGGTCAGATGTAGCATGTGTAGATCAGCCTCCCCCGAATACCCATCTCCAGCTCCCCCACTCCCCCCTCGCCCCGGCGCTGCTGGGGCACAGGCAGCACTTAACCCACGCACAGAACATGTCACTCCTCCGGACGAGGAGGGAGCAGTGAAAAGGGAAACGGGTTTATTTTGGGCTCAGAGGTTTTTTTTGAGGTTCCCTCGTGTGGACGTGGAGGCGAGCTGGGCTTCAGCTGGGGCGGGAGCAGCAAGAGGAGCAAATCCTGCAAATGAACCTTTCCCACTCTCAGCTGGGGGAGATGTAAATCCTGGACCTGAGGAGCAGCGAAAGGAATCGAGCAAACGTTCAAAAGCTGGACTAGAAAATGCTGGGGTTTCCCACAGAAATCTTCATCTCTTTTCTCTCTGAAGACTCATTTCAATAAGAAACGAAAAGCTTTTTGGCCTCAGCTGGGTATTTTTGGCTGGAAAGTTTTGAGTCTTCAGCATTTTAATTTTTAATGAAAATGCTGCTGCTTTTTTTTTTTCTTTCCCCACTGAAAACAGACACTTTTTGCCAAAACAGAAAAAGAAACCACTTCTTCAGACAGTCCTGTTCCTCCCTTTTCACCTTGTAAAAACTATTCCAACGAGATATTTTCGACCCACCCTGCACTGAACTCCTAACCAGCTCCAGCTGATGTGTGGGCTGCTGGGAACCCCATCCGTGGGCCTGGGGGGGGAAAGGAGCTGCCATTTCAGGTTGCAAGGAGCCAAAAGGGATGGGTGTTGAGGGGCTGAGCCACTTCCATGCCAGCCCCAACACCCAGGATCCCAGAGGGACCCCAGCTCTGGCAGGGAGCTGCATGTTAGGAATGGAAATGCCTTGTCCTCCCATCCTGAGGGGATCCGTGTCAGAATAAAGTCAATATTTCTGCCTTCCCAGCCAGGTCACTAATGAAATAAGAGTGAAATAGCAGTGAAATAATGTTAGATTGGGCCTGTCAAAGGGAAATGGTGAAGGCATGGACACTCCTTGAGGGGTGCATGTGGGCATCCATCACCCTCCATCATCAGCACTGCTGCTGTCCAGAGCCTGATGCCTGTTTACCTTCCTTCTCCCCAGAAAGGGTTTCGGGCTGCCCCCCTGGGAAAAATTCTTGCCCTCCCCAAGCACAGTAAACTCCCTCCCAGGGCTGTGGTTTCTGCCTCCCCAGCATGGGGACTCCTGGACATGTGGTGTGATTTGGAAGAGAGGAGGGTTCTTTGTCAGCCATGGGCTCACTGTGCATCCATAGGGATTCCAGTCCTCTGGGATCAGCACAGGGAGCATGGAGCAGGGAGGGAAAGCTTGGCTGGAGGGTAGGATGGATCCCATCCCCTCCTTTTCCATCCTGGGAAAAGGCAGTCTGTGTTGGCAGTGATGTTCATGCTTAACCCTCTCTTGACTGACCCTGGCACTTCCCAGGACTGTCCTCATTCCTGCTTTTCCCAGCTCTCCTCCCTGGCCAGGCAGCCTGTTCCCCCTGTCCTGCCCATCCCTCCTTGCTGTTCCCTGGCCCTTCCCTCTGCTCACCTCTCCGTGGCTGACAGCACAGTGCTCCTACCCAAAAACACAGCCGGGTGGTACCTGCAGGTGGGAAACCTCAGAGCTGCCTCAGTGCCCCCAGGAGAACACCAGGAATTCAGGCACTGGCCTCCATGAGGCCCTCCACAAGCATTTTAGGCTGAATTTCCCAGTTGCTGGGTCATTCACTCTATTAAATGCTCTTTGCAATTGTCCTTTTCTCACCCTCTGCCTTCTGCACTTGAAATTGGAAGTGGCCAAATTTAAATACTACTCCAGCCACCCATGGTTTGTAACAGATAAAAAGCTATGTGATAACTGTGCTGAGCAGCTCCCACCTTGCAGCCTATGAGCAGGATTTTACAGTGCTTGCTGGGTTATTGTTGGTGTAATCCACTGTCCTGTACACAAGCAGCAAAATGGAGTTTCCTACAGCACAGGCATTCCTTTGAAAACTCGATTTCCTGGGCTCTGTTCATGGCACAGCGGAGGTTTTTATTCCCTCTGTTTTTCTTTCCCAGTTCAGGGCTTTTTCTGAAATAACTGTTGAAAACAGGCGTGTTTAAAAACCAACCTTATCATCTATCAGCTTCAGCCATCTCACCATTGAGAACATTCTTGATCTCACCGAACCATCTGACAATGGGCAACCCTCTCCCAGAGCCTCATCTCGACCAAATGTGTTTCAAATTGAGGAATTAACCATTCTGAAGCATCTGCCATCTCCCTCACCACTACCTGCTGTTTGCTCTCACCCAGCAGACTGTTTTCTCCGTAAGAGTTGAATCTTTCAGCCATCACATCGCTCCGATTGTGTTCCACAGTGTAACAAATTTAAATAAATGCATTTAACAGAGCCCTGGTGCCTTGGGAGCTGCCCATGGCACACTCACCTACCCTGGCAAGTGTGTGAGCTCACAGCAAACACCCCACGAAAGAGCTGCCAAGGAGATTTTTGTATTAATTCAACTCCTTCACTCACATTCCTCATCTCCCACTCCATCCTCTACAAGAGGTTATGTAGCTCAACTCGTAATACACCTAACCTTAGAAAATTAGAGGGGAGTTCTTCTCAGTGGTTGGTTGGCTATTTATGCAAAAATACAACGTTGCAGAAATGTTTGCAGAAAGTCCACTTAATTTTAACTAGGAGAAAAAGAGAAACCCACAAACTTTTGCACGTGTTTGTAGGGCGCAGTGTGAGGCTCAGGCAGCAAAAGGTGAGCAGAAAGCAGAGCTGGGCAACATCCTCCTGCCCATCACAGGGCTATTTGGCTTTCTAATAGCCAAACCTATAATACTGTTAAATTACAGGTTTTTTGTAATGATCTGAAGTTGTCTGAGCAGCACAGATGAAGGCAAAAGAAGCTTTTGGGGCTTTAAGGCTGACTTTTCCCCGCTGGTTAGCAGCGATGCAGCTGTGCCATGTAATTCCCCTCTGCGTTTGCTCCCAGTGGTTTTCTTGCAAAAATGATAAAAGCAAAGAATTTGTCAGTGCCCAGAGATGCCCTTGTCACAGAGCCACAAAGGCAGGGCACGGCACGGAGCCTGCAAACCACATGCAAAGGAATTGATGACAGATGGAGCAGGGATATTGCATGAAGTGGCAATGCTGGGTGTGTGCCAGAGCCTGCCAGGCTGGGGCTGGGGCTGGGGCTGGGGCTGGGGCTGGAGGAGTGTGGCTGCTGTGGGTGGGTGGTCAGGCAAACCCAGGGACAGCAGTTTCTCAAGCCAGGGCTCGGGTTCCCCCGGTGTTTTGAGGTCAGACCCCACAGCTGATCTCTGTGTGGCCCCAGCTGGGGACTCTGTGGCTGGAGGAGTCTCGTGGTCCTGCTGTTCCTCCCCTGGGGGGATGGATGGGCTCATCCCAGAGGGTGAGGGGGCAAGAATGCCCTTTGCCCTGGACACATCAAACCCCTGGTGTTGCACACACCCTTTAGGTATGGGGGCTGTCCAGGGAAGCAACAAAACTCCAATATAAGAAATTCTGCACCTTCGTCTTTTAAGATAGACAAGGGTGAATTGTTCCTTTTCTCACCGGTGTTTGAGAAAGCACAAAGAGTTCCCAACACACCAAAGCCCTACTTCCAGTTCCTTCTGCTTTCCCTCGGCTCCAAATGATGCTGCAAGTGAAATTCCACATCTGGGTCCTGCAAACCTTCCTCCTCCCCGCTCTGTCGTGGGCCGCTGTAAATCAGGGCCCTGGTGTTATTTCTTTTGATTAAATTCCCTCCTGATATTTGCCAGATTATTGGCACTAATGTAATTCTATTGGAGCAGAGAGTCTGCAGGATTTTATAGCCCGGCTGTAAAACAGCCCTGCGCTTGGGGGAGAGGCTTTGCACACTTTTTGATGAAAAGATGACAAATGATACACATTATGAATGTACTTGTGCTGAGGTTGCCAGTGTAAACCCCTTGTGGAGGGGCAGGATTTGGCACCTGGAGAGGTCACATTCATTAGGAATCCGTGTTTTGGTAAAAAATGGGATTGTCTGATTCCCTGGTGCTGTCACAGCTCCATGCCTGTGCAGAGCCTGGCAGGTTTTCCATCTGCATTGAAGTATTCAATGGCTTGTTCAAAACCCAAAAGGCACTCCCAGCCTACCTGCCCATCCTGGCTTGTACCCACAAAGGGTCAAGCCTTCGACATTTTCATTTTGGAGGCGGTTGGGTTGAAGCAGAGGGAGGGTGAGTGCCATCCCATGGGCTCAGCCTCTGGTCCTTGACTTCATGGGGGCAGGTACAAATTTTCTTCCCACCCAGCTGCAGGCTCTGAGTCGGGGGGGGACTAACACAGCCTAACCCCTTTGGCTCCCGGTGCTGCCTGGAGAGGAGAGCAGAGCCTCTGGTGACAGGGACAGTGGGACGAGTCCCTGCCTCTCTCCACTGACTATAGAGGGAGCTGCGTGACCAGCTTAATGCTGAGAGCTCATTCCCACGAGGCTGAAGCCTGGGGAGATGGGACCTGTCCTTGCTGACCAGAGCCCCGCTGGGCAGTTGGGGTGCAGAGGGCAGTGGGGATAAACCCCCCCTCAGACAGCAGAGTGTGAGAACAGGCTCGCTACCATCCGTGTGCTGGTGCCCCACTGGTGCCCCACTGGTGTCCCA